AAGGAAGGCCAGACATCTTGCCATATCATATTCTTTGGTTGGAGTGCCGATGAAGCAAACGTATGTTTGCCATAGCAATCGACAACGTTACTTATATTCGTATAAGAGTAGGGTTTCGAGACTACCAGTCAGCTCAACTCATCTCTTTGTGGGAAAATTCTACTACCAGTCCTTCATCACCTTACACTGATTTACTGGTATTCTCGAAACCCTACTCTTATACGAATAAAACTCGCGAGTATTTCAACCAAGACCGTCAGTCTCTAGGGGCATCCAAACTGGTAAATTTAATAATTGCATTACAAACATACATCGTTAGAGTCAATGTATTGGTCCGCCGTTTTACCATTACCCGCCTCCATTCACATTCAGTCGCTGGACTTTATGCATGTGGAAATTGGTATGAACGCGGGCTTCTAAACTTCCCGGCGCCTGAGACAGCAAAACACTGATTTTAAATTCAATTTTGTGTCGGTCAAATACCGAAAAAGACAATCAAGTCCTTTGAACCAGTGTCGTCTAAAATAACGTTGCTTGAAGGGAAGTCGTGACGATGCAGCTTGGTTTTTTTTCATTCGAGACCCAGTGATAGCTTAATTCTTTACTCCTCTTCTTCCCCTGATTCAGTTGGCCTGGCCCGAACCTCTGGCCGTCTTCAAGGCACCTCTCATGGACCTTTTCGCAATCAATTCAACCACACTCGAAGCACTGACAAAAAGGATTCTTTGTCTTACAAAAGACAAAATTCACATCTGTCGACTACCCGAAAATGAGGGCTCATCTCCACTTGGTGAGGATGAGACTGACGATCAAGAGACGACGCCCTGCCGGCCCGACGCCGTAAAGACGGGACATGTCAGCTCCGATGAGCGGCCAAAACCGTCCAGGAACCACGTGACCGCCAGCATCCTTCTTTGCGATAGCAAATTGTCCTCTTTGCCCGTTCCACAATTGGACCGCTCCAACAGCTGTCCCACAACGTTGAATTCGAAGCGGGCCAAAGATACCTGGTCCTTCGCCAAGGCCGTCTGCCCGGAACTGAGGATGCTGAGGTCTGGAAGACTGAGTTTGGAAACGCCCGAAGGCCCTCATAATCGAAAAAGGTGCACGATCAAAAGTTTAGATTCGCATTCGCGAGAGGTCAAGACTGAGGACCTAATTGCACCCTTTGGACTTCAGTGCCTTTCCGTTTTGCCGTCCCCAGTCGTGGACAAAGAGGCGCCGGGGGAGGAAACAACCGTACAATTTGCGGTTGGTAGCTCCTGGACTAACCACATCCTTGTGTGCACTGCTCGTCTGCAGGAGTCGAAGTGTACAGGAGAAGACTTAGTTACAGCGTATAGATGGGTGGCGATCAAAGAGGCACCAGCCACTGGCGATAAAACATACAAAGTGAAAGGTAATCATATTTGCTCTTTAAAAGGATCCTGCCTAAACCACACTGGTGGCAAATTTAGCTTTTTTTTCCACTAAATCAACCGCTCACATCAAACACATACTTGTGTTTTGATTAGGTGGAAAGCCGAATTAAGTCTGTTTAAGTTATTATATGACACAATAAAGAAACACATTTTCAGAAAAATAGCTAATAAGCCTGAATAATAGATCGTATAGATACAAATAGTAACAAAGCTTCAATAAATCTCATAACGCAGTGATTCCCAAACTGTGCGCCGCGGCCTCTTTACAGGGGCGCCGCGAAATATTTTAAAAGCTACAATTTGAGAACATGTGCAGTGATTTGCAGGCCTATCCATCACATTAATTATTAAATATTAATTTAATGGTAATTAGGTTTTAGGGTAGGGCGCCATGGAAAATTTTAATTGAAAAAGGGCGCCGCGACTAGGAAAATTTTGGGAACCACTGTTATAACACATTAATATTGGGGAGACTTTTATTTCATATGAAAGTGCATGATGCAAAGATTCATACGCACGCAAATAAAGGTACCATAAGCAATATGAGAGATAATTATTTTTCGTATATAAGTAGAGTTTCGAGACTACCAGTAAATGTGTTATATGAGATGTAATCACCCTATTTTGCGTAACGTGATGAACGACTGGTAGTAGAATTTTCCCACAATGCTATAAGTAGAGCTGACGCTTTCATTAAATTTCACACAGCCTTGCTTTCCCAAAAGTTGTTCTCATCCAAGCTGGAGTAGACTGTAGTTCGGACCTCGAAAAGGTCTTAGCAACACATTGCGGGAAAATTCTACTACCAGTCCTTCATCACCTTAAACGAAATAGGGTGAAAACATCTCATATTACTGATTTACTGGTAGTCGTGAAACTCTGCTTATATACGAAAAATAAGTAATGTAGTCGATTGTTATAGCCAAAATACGTTTGCTTCATCGACAATCCCATCGCAGAATGTGAAACGGGAAAATGTAAACCTGCTTTATGACCCAAGGGCACTCGTGGCAATGTGGTGTAGTGGTTAACGTGGCGAGATTACACTCTGCACTGTCATAGTTAGAGTCCCAATGAAGGTGTTTCTATGACCTAGGCGATGTCGAAACTGTAGTCTACTCCGGCCTGAAGGCGAATACTTTCTGGGAAGCAAGACTATATGAAATTCAGTTGAAGCGTAAGATCTTCTCATATCATTGTGGGGACATTCAACCTCTGTTCCCCTTATCACCTTAACCGAAATAGGGTGAATACACATATTCTTGACTTAGTGTTAGTGAGACTGTTACATGATCTGATGATTCTCATCAGATGATGAACGAAATTTTAGTCCATTTTCACCCGAAACGAAGGAGGATATCTCGTGGACATCGTTAAACTAAACGTAATATTAAAACCAACTGTATGCAATACATCAAGAATGAGTAGTCGTCTTCTAGTAAGATGGAACTTTGAATCCCTTCTTGATTCAATTTCATATAAAATTACTGTATCCCCAGCAATATATTTTCTCTCCAGCCCTGATAATTACATTGAATAAGTAGTACCTCTGCCCTAATTCACGAG